GCCTTACACTGATTGGTCAACGAGTGTTGTCACTGGAAGAGACATCTGACCCTTTGGGAAAAACAACTCAACCTCCATCTTTAAAACCGGCTGCTCTGCTCGGCTCTGCTTCGGCTACATTACGTCCTCCTCACTCCAGAGAAATGGAATTGCACAGAAAGCCCCAAAAGTCCTGGTCGGTGGACGAGGTCCACACGCTCCTCTCTTCAGCCCAAAGAAAGAATCCAAAGGCAGCTCGAGGCTCAACACAGTTTTCAGGGAGATCACCCAGCTCTGGATTTGTGACTAGTCTGTGGTAATCCTGAAATAACTGGCTAGCTACGAATCCCGTTAAAGCTCTCACTAAAATGTGTTTACTGTGTAAATGTTTGATTGTCTGTTGTACACAGTGAGCTAGCTACATTTAGCTTCATTTAGCTATCGAGAGCAAGCTAAGCTAACGTCCTCCCTGTGCTACTGTGCTTTATCTCGTATTATCTGCAGTATTCACGTGTTTCTGATTTGTGCTTGTATTTATGTTGTCGTGTGTATATTTGTATGAGAATCCCTTTCCATAAGTGTGGAGATTACCAACGAGTAACGAGTGACCCGAGTATTCTCCTCTTCTGGACCTGGCCTGGACCTGGTCGGGACCTGGTCTCAGACATACGTACTTTTGACTTTGTAAACTGTTGGTTTTGCACTTTACTTTTGTTTTCAATAAATCTGTGATTGTATCAAGACTGTGTTTCATTCATTTATTATTATTGTAGCTGAGGTTTGGGTATCGATTGTTTGTCTGGTCTTGGAGTCTGCTGTAGTCCGGACCCGAGTCCGGACTAGCCTAGCCTAGCCTAGCCGCTAACCCGCTACCCCTACGGCTGCCGCTGTCTCTCCCTCTGTCCTTTACTGCTCGAGTTGCCATATGACGAGTTTAAAGTTTAAACCCTGGATCCTTCTCTGATGGTAGTGATAGATGTGTTAAGTGTAGTATAGTAGAAGCTTTGGAATCCAGGGTTAGTGAGTGAGCCGAGTCTAGAGCTAGCGCTAGCATTAGCTTTAGCCTAGCAGTATCCTCGGACATGCAGCCCTCCTCTGCACACTGCTACACAGGCTGCTGTTGCTACAGGTCCCATTCAGATTGTACACAGCAGTCAGCACCATTGACTTCACAGTGTCTGAGTCATTCTTTTAAGACATAAGCATTCTCAAAAACTACTCGTGCTGTGCTGAATTTTCTTTTAAACACTTGCTCTAATATTATAATAAATCCATGCACCGCACCAGTACTAGTTACGCGTCACACGTAAATGACGTGGTCTGACAACGCTGAGGACATACTGGGGGTACTATTTTTGATGGAAAAGCACGCAAACTGGGCCATTGCATGCCGTGTAGAGTCAAAACGTACCGTGCTAGGACTGTGGAAAAACGGCATTACTTACTAGATTACTATCTTAAAACAGCACAAACTAACTCCATTTCATGACTCCCAGTGCTCCGAGGCTAGTGGAAAAGGGCTCAATGGTCTTTTCACATCTTAAATCCAATATTTAAGTTCCCATTGTCAAAACATCTGAGTCTACATACAATAAATACCATCAAAATTTCATTGAATGTACTTTAAAAAAACTTGATATTTGCATTTATTTATTTATTTTATTTCTTGATGTAACACAGTACACACAGGAAAAGTACTTCGGTAGCGACCATTACTATTCAAAACAATGATGAAATATAAGTATTAAAGGAATAGGCCACCGTTTTTACATACTGACAAATGTTCTTACCTTACCTTAGACTAGTTGATATGTACCTGTCTGGTGTTTGTCCGTGCGCTCTGTCATGCAAACGGAGCACAAACGCAGCCTCTTCCACATACTGTATAGTTCCAAATCAGCTCCTGTTAGAAGCTACCAAACTCTTCCACATGTTCCCTACATAAATAAAGTTACATTTCTGTGTTACTATACTTTGTAGTGTAACACGTCACGTAACTGTATTTAAATAGGGAACACGTGGAAGAGTTTGGTAGCTTCTAACGGGAGCTGATTTGGAACTATACAGTATGTGGAAGAGGCTGCGTTTGTGCTCCGTTTGCATGACAGAGCGCACGGACAAACACCAGACAGGTACATATCAACTAGTCTAAGGTAAGGTAAGAACATATGTCAGTATGTAAAAACGGTGGCCTATTCCTTTAATCTTCAAAGCTGCCACAGCACAACAGTAGTTACCAATAATCCAGATTGTGCCAATATTGAGCATACTGATACTAACCCAGAATCTAGTGACCTCTTCTTCTGTAAAAGCTCCCGAAGAACAACACTCACATCATCTCTGCGGGTGGAAATCTAATAGATTATCTGAACACTGTCCTGCAGACCTGAGGATTTACAACAGCAAAAGTCCAGTTCTGAAAACTGAATTCATGTTGTGGTGTATGTATCAGGTTTGGAGATCAGTGTTGAAATCTATCTACAGTAAAACCATGGTTGTACTCCTTTTAAAAGGGGACCCAAAAAGACATAAAGAATACATACTGTATATCAGTGTTTTTCAACCTTTTTTGAGCCAAGGCACACTTTTTTCACTGAAAAAATCTTGCGGCACACCTCCAGGAGAAAATGTAAAAATGTATACAGTACTAATGTAAAAAAATATATACTGTACATACTCTGTGTGATATATAAAGTATATCGTATCTTATCTTATAATGTATACAGTATACTCTGTAGCCTATATTCACAATATACAGTTATTCTCATCAAAATGCTTAAGTCCAGGCCTTGACATTAAGCTTTATTTAATATTTCTCGATACAAATAACAAGAGTTTGGGAATAAAGTGGCACTAACTGTGTGGAAAAAAACTAAGAAAATCCACTCTCTGCCCATAGTCAAATAATAACTCACACAAAGAACATGCATTGTTAGTGCATGGGAAAAAATTTAGGTATCCGAGCTTTAAATTCAGGAGTTTTGGATGAGGGACACGGGAGGTCCTGAACGCGAGTCCATGGTTCTGTCCGGTCCGCATGTCTGTGGTTCTGTCCACTCGACTATGGTCTGCGCTCGGTACCCAGTTCAGAAGTGCGTTCGCGAGAGCTGTTGTACAAAAATTGTACATTTCATAGTTAAACCACTACAACGCGGCCACAGCTGCCCCGGAGCAGAGCGGAGGATGTTAATCCTGTTCAGAAACGGCATAATTCATTTTCAAAAACGTCTCTATCACTTTCACTTCTCACTCGCCACAAAGCTCTTGTCTCGCTCCCTCCCACATTTGTTGGTCGCATCCAATTTTACCTTTCTCGCCACAATGCTGACCTGTAGCCAGTGGTCGCATCCAATTTTTCAGTTTCAAAGTACTTAGCTATCTGCTGCCATCTACTGATTTGAAAAAGTATTACATGGTTACTCCACAGTTCAAAACAAGTCACCGCTCGTCAACAGCGAATGCAGTTATTTTTAGACAAAGTAGACGAATTTCTCACGGCACACCAGACAATATCATACGGCACACTAGTGTGCCGCGGCACAGTGGTTGAAAAACACTGCTGTATATTATGCATTACCTATGTTCTTTGTGTACTATACACTTTCTTAAACATATTTAAGAACAAATTTAAGAAAGTGCAAAATATAATTTCTTGGGGAGAAAATATATTGACAAACATGTAAAATGCCTATCTATACATACTTAGCGTTACCCAATAGTTATCTAAGGTGGTCAGAGGTTTTGTTTTAGTGTACCCAGTATTTGTGCGTTTTTGTGTGTACTGTGCTAGACGTTTCCGATATTGGCGCGCACGGAGCTGGAAACTAGTCCAGTTTGGAACATGTTTAAGCTTGAAGTGGTTGATTTGTTTTTTTGACGTTCTTTGTGACACCGTCCTTACACTTTGCATTGATATAGCTGATGTATTTTAGCCTTTCTTTGTCAAATCCTTGTTTAACAGTCAGAAGGGTTGCAGCAGACTTTTCGTTGCCCTTCTTTTGGTTGGAAAAGATGTTCTCTATGACTTCGGCTTGTTTTTTTATCACATTTGCCATATATTTAAGTTTATTCTGGGTGTCTTCATCTACCGTTGGCTTTGTGTAGCCATCTAAATATTCACCTATCATCTTTGACACTTTGAGTTTCAGCCTTTTATGGTCATCTAAGCAATGTCTGCAGTCGTCCAAAGAGTACTTGTATTTTCGAATCGTTTGTTTCAGGAATTGACAATTGTCTTTGTACCCCTCAATTGTCGATTCTATGTTTTTTATCTGTGTGTTTTTACAATCTATAATTTCCTTCAGGTGAGCGATGCTATTCTTTGCGGTTTCTAATTCTTTGGCCACCTGTTTCATCTTCTCCTGATCCTTCTCGCGCAGTATCTTTAAATCGCTCAGTGCTTTCATAGTTTCAGTGGTTTTCAATTCCATCTTTACATTGACGGTCTGTTCTACCTCCAACTTGCCATTTATTGTCCTAATGTCTTTCCTAAGCATCTCCGTCTGCTTTTCCCGCGTACGGATAATATTGAATTTATGTTTACTATCCTTTCTAAGATTCTCAATTTCTCTTTCTAGATGCTTGAAAGCCTCCTCATAGTCTTTTTCATCTTTCTCCAACACGTTGATTCGATCAAGGTGTTTATTAATGATATCCTCAGTTTCCTCTCTCACTTTTGACTCTGTATATTTAAGCCGTTTCTCAGTATGTTTACGAAGGTCATTGATAAATTTTTCTTTCTGCTGAAGTTGCGTGGCCTGTTCAGCGATCTTCTCAGAGCTCTGCTGCTTCAGTTGTTCAAACGAGTTTTGCGTCAGCTGCAGTGCTTGAGTCAAATCAGGCACCTTGGTGTCGAGTTCATTCTGAAGGATTTGGATTTTTCCCTTTAAATGGTGGACTCTATTCTTGTGTGTCTCCCTCTGTTTGGAGATCTGTGTCATGTACTTTGCTTTTTGAGATTCCAGTAAAGTTTCGGATTCCTTCTTGTACTCTAACGCCTTATGTTTAGTATCGGTGAATACCTTTTCATACTCTTGGATTTTTCTCATGGCTTTGTTTAAAGACATCTGCGTATCTCTTTCTCTGGAGCAAGTTACATCCAGATCCGCCTGAGATGCGTCCAACTTCTTTGTTAGATCTTCAATAATCTTCTTCAACTTGTCCTGGTTTTCATTATATTTCTCTAAATCCGCCAACACTCGATTATTGTGATTCTGGTCATCTATGATTCTCTTTTCCTTCATTTGTTGCAATTTCCACTCATAGAACTCTGCATTTTCAGGGGTAATTTTAGCTGGAAAAGACTTTTTGTAAAACTCTTCCCACTCCCTGATGGTTGCATAGGACTTTTTCAGTTCTTTCTGAAGGGAGGCCACCTGCTGGTCTTTGGTGAGAAGAGTGGCCTTGTACCCCTCCATCTCGATCCCCAAATGTGCGATTTTCCGCTGCAGCTCGTTTTCTTGAGCTTTCGCAACTTCCTTGTTGTACTTGAGTTTTCGTTCTAAGGCCAGGGCACGGATGGTTTTTTTCGGTCCTGAATTTGTGTCACGCGGAGGTTCAGGAGCAGAGGGTCCAATTTGTGATGTTTTCGGTTGTAATGGTTTTATATCTAAAGGGGGAATATCTGCAGAGGACGATGCAGATGTGGGCAACGGTTTATGGGAAATATTTATAGGGGGCAAAGTTTTAGGGGGCCGGTTTAGGGCAGGCATAGCTATGGTTTTAGCTGTCACTGCTTTAGGGCGATGCTCTATAGGGGGCAAAGTTCTAGGGGGTAAAGAACTTTTTTTTCCTCCAATGGCATTAATAGCGGTATTCGCTTTGTGTTTATGCATTTCGCTTGCTATGGAAGTACAAAAGTTATAAGCTCCTTGACACGTACAATATTACTCACATATGGTTAAACTATGCTCACATATGGTTAAACTATGCTTAACGGTAAGGAAGGAAAATCTGCGGTAACTTCGCAGCTTCTGAAGTAACTTTATCCACTGGTGTAACCCCAGTCTCCAGTGGACACACAGACTATGGAATTCTCTGTCAGGCGATGAGATCATCGCATTCTAAGTGAAATCATATCGCCATGGCGATATGGTTGCTATGACACCCTGGCTGAGTTCCAACCAGAGAAATAGAACAGTGTGATGGCGTTGCCATGGAAACTTTCCTGTCTTCCCTGTGGTGAAAGCCCGACACAGGTCCAAACAAGATTCTAACCTTTCCCTGTTGTCTGGATCAAAAAACATGAGTCTGTGTGAATCACCTTATTAAAGACCTTGAGCAGGGTTAGTCAAATAGTTTGTGGATATGAAAATGCCAGATAAAATACCAAACTGATATACATTTCGGCAAAAAATATCATTTATTTTATTGAAAAATATGTATGTATGTTTTTAGTACATTTCCATTGTCTCGGGTCCATGTACTTTTGCGTTCAACACATTTTCTATTTATTAAAGAATCTATACCCAATTTTGTTCTAAGTAGTTCATAAAAATTCTTATTACTACATACAAGTTGTATTATAATCCGTAATTTAATTGAAAACTTGAGGTCATTGATCCAGATGTGTATGAATGCAAGCAGTGAAAAGTGCTGAATAGAGTCTTAGCGGGACGCTCGTTCTCCTCCACTCACAGAACGAGCAGTGAACAGCCTGCATCCTCTAGCCCCTACGGCGCTGCTAAACACTAGAGCTTCAACTTCAAAATTCGAATATAATTCTAAAATTTAAAATATGTATATATATTTGAACAAATATTAGACAGCCCTTATAACTCGAAATGTATTCAATGATTGCCAATAGCTCCCAAAGGTTTCATCGGGACGTGCTAGGCAGGTAACAGCTAAGCTAGCTAGCTCCCTGGAACTACATGGATGTTAATATAATACATCCATGGGAACTACATGTTAATGGTTACTTCCGGGTTTTTCGCGATCGCTTTTGGTCACATGAAAATAGTGATTTTGTCATGAAAACGATAACAACAAATTCTGAAAACGGCCGTGCATGTGTGTTAAGGATGTATATGTATACTGTACTGTCTGATTAACATTTCATGGTGTTGATTGATTGATATGTATTTGTTTATTGAGCGTGGCTAGCTCGGCTAGCTTCTCCCGTACTTGCAGAGTAATGGCAGTATATTACACACCTGAATTACAAACGGAGATTGCATTGTCAAAGGGCAGCGGTCATTATTGGTTTGAGAGTTCTGTTATCAAGAAAAAATTATCAGTAGAATTACATTCAAGTCAATGGAGTGTTGTACCGCTGCTGTGAGGAGCTGTATAATAAATTATAATTAAATATTAGAATATATTCTAATGTTTAAATGAATACATTTGCATGCAAAACTAGCAGTATTCTTTTACCTATATATTGTGTCAGTAGTGCATTGCTTTAGTACCATTTCATCAGTGATTGTTGTACAGCTTACAAGAAGTTGCGCTAATGCTAATGTTAGCATACATGTCAGATCGCAAATAAAACTAGATGGCTCCGTGGGATGAGAGTGTAGGGGAAATGAGAAGCCATTGAGCGAGTTGGGGGGCGGTGCTAAACATTCAAACCTTGCAGAAACGGGTATACATAGTTCCCACATGACGTCACTACATACGGGGATTTGCCGACCCGGCGCCATTTGAGTTGGCATGCTGTGGGCAAAACAATAGAAGTAAGTAAGCTAGTAAGCTTTTATTTATATACCGCCTTTTCACTGCACATCGGAGTCTCAAAGCGGTTTACAATTGTTGGGAGTGGGGTCGCCAGTACAGGAGGCACATGCCATACCTATTGTACATATTTTTAGTGGTAGGGGAAACCGGAGCACCCGGAGGAAACCTACGCAGACACGGGGAGAACATGCAAACTCCACTCAGAAAGGCCCTGGTCCGGCCGGGATTCGAACCCAGGACCTCCTTGCTGAGAGGCGAGAGTGCTATCCACTCAGCCACCGTGCCGCCCACGGCAGAAAAAGAAGCTGAAACGTGTTAATGTCGTGATAAAGTTGAAAATGGTCATCTCCTGCTGGGTCAATGGATGTTCAAATCGTGCCGGAGGTTCCGTTAAACTTGGATTTTACAGTATACCCATCATTAGACTTCATGAATGTGAGAAGACTAAGCTTTTGTCAGAACAACCACGGAGGTTATGGCTTGCGAAGATAAACAGGCAAGAAACTCCCTCAAAACACGCAAGAATATGCTCGGAGCACTTTGTGTCAGGTGCGTATCGTATCTTATAATGTGTTGACAGACGTAATTTACTCAGTACTAACTTGTGTATGCTGATAGCTGGTAACTTGAGAGTTTCATTATTTAGCGTTAGATTACTTTATTATGAGGAGGATCGGTGTCGCGTCCGAGGCTCTCGAGGGCAACGTAAATGTATTAAATAGATAATAATAGTTCTATGGTGGGCTAAAACAATGTTCACAAACAGCATTGCTTCTGTAAAAAGATCTGTGTCATAAAATAAACTGCTCTTTACGCCTGGAAAAATCAGTTGCCCACCATTCACCAAAACATACGGTCAAAAACGTGGAAATAAACAATAACAGCAATCCAGAGTGTCCGTGTGGCATTAGCATTAATTAAATTAATTGTTAATATAATTAAAATAATTAAATGGAGCTCCAACTGGTATTAAATCTAAAGTTTTTGAGAAATGTTTGCATTGCTTGTTAATTTTTGCTGCATAATTTGATCAAATATGTAAAACATGTCCGTAGCACGTTAAACTGTGGTGCCATTGTATTAATATACAATTATTTGCTCAAAAGTTGCCCTTTTTTTCCAATTTGCGTTTGAATATCTACATTTATTCTCATTCTTCTGTTTAATGGAATGCACAAACACAACAGCGTGCCATCAAAGATGGCGTCTCCGAGGAGGTCATGTGACATTCATTGGTCTGTGGGAACTATGTATAGCGCCTTTAAGAGAAATGGAAAATTGAAAAAAGGACTATTTTGCACCTTCAGGCACACGGAAATACAGTGCTTTGCAAAAGTATTCACCCCTTGGCTTTTTACCTATTTTGTTACATTACAGCCTTTAGTTCAATGTTTTTTTTATCTGAATTTCATGTGATGGATTAGAAAACAATGGTCTAAGTTGGTGAAATGAATTGAGAAAAATATATACAGAAAACCATTTTTCAGAAATAAAAAACTGGAAATTGGAATGTGTATATGTATTCACCCCCACATGGAAAGAACCTATATAAACATATATGTTTTAATATAGGTTTCGATATATGTTTTGAATATATGTGACATATATAAAATTGGCCGTTTTCCTATATGTCATAAACATATATGTACACATATAGTTAAACATATATGTGTACATATATGTATACATATATGCACATATATGTGAGCATATATGTGAGCATATATGTGTACATATATGTATACATATATGTATACATATATGCACATATATGTGAGCATATATGTGTACATATATGTATACATATATGTGTACATATATGTATACATATATGTGTACATATATGTACATATATGTTTATGACATATAGGAAAACGGCCAATTTTATATATGTCACTTATACCTATATTTTAATCTATATGCACCTATATGTTCACCTATACAGTAGTCAAATTCTTTAAATCCTTAGCTACTAGGCAACATAAATAAAAGCCCAAAATGTAGAAATTGACATTTATTTAAGAAAAATCAAATAGTAAAAAACAAGAACAAAAATAACACAAAAAAATAAATATATAATTATCTTTTAGATCTTCTCAGCTCCGTGAGCTTCGAATTGATGGATGTGCCTATCTGCCCTCGGGTGGCTGCCGGCCACCTTTTCAATGTAGCATCTAGAAGACAAAAATAATAAGATAGTATTATTATAATAATAATGATAATAATAATAACAACAACAACATAGTGCTTCATCAGGAACCCAAAGTGCTTACAGCTGTGATTGGACACATATTTTGGATAAAGGGCTGATCCTAATAAAAAAATGTTTCATGTAAACACGTCAATTGGAAGATTCTTTTTGGATTCTGCTAAATCTGAAAGAAATGCTGATTGGAAACATCACCCCCACACACTTTTTAAGCGGCATCGTTCTTTCATGTGCACATGTCCGTCATGGGGACTGCATTGATAACAGTCACACGGTCAATCATGTACATCCAAAGCAGGATTGGTGCATGTTTATGCATGTCATGATTAGATTATTTGTTTCCATGTAAACTAATTCCGATTTTCCAATCCCTCAAATTTTTAATCTGATGTAAGTAACTTTGAACATTTAAACATATCAAGTTGTCAATGGGCTGCACTTTCATAGCATTTTCCTGCACCCAACAGTACCCAAAATACTTTCAATGGCCTACCATCGACACACATTCCACTGGTAAGCTGCCATGCTCGGTATACTCAAAGAGCAGTAATAATATGCATTGAAATCAAGCAAATCAATTACCGGTATAGACAAAAGAAGGCACAAACACAGGACAGAGGATTGAAGGTGAAGGAGGGGTGAATATGATTATTTCTTTACATTTCAGACGACAACAATTAGTGCCATGAGGCTATTTGCAACACTATTCTACAGAGTAGAGGACTAAACGCCTTACAGCGCAATACCCCAGAAATGTGGCTTTAGAAGAGGAAAGGTAGGATCAAGAAGTGAGCAAGCAATGAATTAGTATTATTAGTGCCAAGCAGATATAGTAACAATGGGTGCCCTACCTTGTGCAGTCTCCACTGATGTCTAATAAACATTGATACAAATAGGCTATGGTTAAAGTGCTGAACTTATTAAGTCTTAAAAGTTTTGTTTTCCCTTAACGCATTATGCATTTACTCACCAATAATGGCTGTCTTTTTAATTTGGTCAAGGGCAACCAGCTGCTCCCTATCCCCTCTGGTTGGCTTTCCACCTTAAAGTAATATTTCAAAATTCTTAGGAAAGGTGGAGAAAGCAAGTTTTTTTGGGGTGCAAGTAAATACAAAAATGCCAAAAAAAGTGATGGTATGTCATTACACAAACATCATTTATTCCACAGAATATGAGTGATTTGTTTTTGTTTTTTCAAGGACAGAAGAGATTAGGAACATGTTTTCTACCTTTCAGGTTGCTTTTCAGCAAAGTCTCCAGATCAAAGGTGCCCAGCAGCAGATTCCGCACCATGGCGGTAGCAGAGGTGGCAAGGCGGGCTGCTTTCCACGCTTCTGCCTGGCAAAACACCCCAGACCCCTTTATAACTTCAATCTGAAAAAATATGTCAAATCACAATATTAATTTATTGACAACATTTAGAAACGTTTTCATGTTTCATATTGATTATTATGCTTAGCTCCCCAATATTTATTAGGTTTTTATGTATAAATACAGATTAATGATAAAGATATTAAACAAATTAATCATTGCCCTAGCATTATTAAAGGAGAGAGGAAGAGGTTGGATGGAGAGTAGGGAAGGAGGAAAAGGGAGCACACAGTTTATAACCAGTCTTACTACATAATTACCTGTGTTTTTGCTGAGGTCGCAGCTGTTGCTCCAGTCTTGTTAGAGAAGGAAAACATTGTTAAACTCTTAACACGTAAATTACATATTACCACTAACTATCCTAACATAAAAATCCCTATAGCTAAGTTGCAGCCTTAAAGGCACACCGCGGACTTTGTGACCTAAAGAGTTGACACATATGAGTTATTTTATATGAATACTTGGGCCAATATACAGCGCTTGACACTTGCAATGCTCCGAGCGGGGCTGCCCTCTTGAAATACCGCCCATGTAACTTTCGAGCAGACGGACCGTCTGCCACCAGGTCACGTGACTTGGAAGAAAGACTTGCTTTACGGCTACAGGCGCTGATATACTCATGGAGCTAAGGCTTTTGCTACTCATTTTTCACCTGCTCGACTCCTGGTCATGGCTGAGGCAAGGAAAAATTTTAAACCTTCGGAGGAGGCTAAAAAGAGGAAACGCGAAAGGGATCGTGCTGTAAGCTGCATGTCTGTATGAGCGCTGCTCTTCACCTGGTTCCTGGATGTCATCGACCGCAAAGATGTCATTCCACGCAGCACGAGCTAGACGCAGAACTCCCTCATCCAGGATATAGAAGTCCATGTGTGGTAGATTACTAATGCAGCGGTCTGGAGGCTGACCACAGCAGAGTCTCTCAATATCTGTAGGCATGTCTCTACAGTTTGAACACACACACCAGTGCATGCTGTCTGAATACACACTCAAAAGACACCGGCTGACTGTTTGACTTTTGCGACAGTGCTGAGTTGCTTGTGGCCACTAGGGGCGCTAAACGTGAAAGTTGCAGGTCTAGCGCCCCTAGTGGCCAAGAGTTACACGGTGTGCCTTTAAGTAAAATAAGTTCAGAAATATCTGAGGTATAAAAGGGTTACACACCTGTGGTGTCTCTTGAGAGTGCTCAATCCCCATGGGCCTCTCTGCAGAGGACTCGGTCTCCTCGGAGCTTGATCTCCTCTCTGGAGTCTTAGAGAAGAAAGAAACATAGTAAAAGTCACTATAGATTATTATAAAAAACATTAAACATGTCAATAAATTTAAGTTATATGCAAAAGTAATCAGACAAACATAATAAAAATCTATATAGCTACGTTTGAGTATCAAGTAAACAAAATAAATAAATAAAAATGCAATGGCGTTACACACCAGTTCTTCTCCAAAACTATAGGAATCTAGGGGTGTATTCAGACCTGAAAAGTCCTTTGCTCCGCTTCCTTGATCCGAATCAAAAGCGGACCAAACTTTTTTCTTTTGCTCCGGTTCGTATTCAGACTGTCCTTTTTGCAAGTGAACTTTTTATATAAACATATCGACGCGTGTGACGATCGGCTCCTATTGGACAGCGAGAGCTCATGGAGAATGAATACGGAAATGGAGGAAAACATTCAGCTCGTACGTGCAGCATGTCTGCTCTGTTTTTGTTTGCTCTTTTTAGAACAAAACTACCTTCAACTACAACAGCAGCTCATCAGACATAGGCGAAACGCGCTGTTTCAAATTTTGGAACAGCGTCGGAGAATGCGTGCTGTCGAAAGCCGAAGGAGACTCTGTGCGCTACGTGTCCTGTCCCACAGCATACAGACAGCAGCATTGTGGATAAACAGACGACAGAGGATCAGGTAGGAACCAAAGAACACAATTCACTACATGATACGGGATATTGCTTTTGAGACGCGAGTCAAACAGTGTCAGGCTTTTAATAATGTAAATGATTTGAAGATACTACCATTAACATCACTGTATACTGTGAACAATGTTAACTCCATAAGCCTGTTGCAAACAAGTTTTTTTCTTTCAGCTCTGCTCCCAAAATGTAGCCCATCACAAGAACTATCTCTTTAGGCAAAAAATGAGAAATATATGTATATATACATTTATATATGTGCGTGTGTGTGTGTGTATATATATATATATATATATATAATGTATTTAAATGTTTTTTATGTATGTAAGACAGAGACATACACAGGGTCTAAATTGTATTTAAGTTTGATCGATAATGTATCGCTGTAGTTTATGTACTGTATGTACGCTGTTTATTTAGCTCATGTCCTCCTACTTCTTAATATGACACTTTTTCTTATTTTTCAGGACAACCTGGGTCTACCCACGATGCCAGGAATGGTGGCAACTCATTCAAAGAACATGGACAGACAGAGACTGGTTAAACAACTTTAGAATGAGAAAAGACACTTTTCACACTCTGTGGAATTCTACGCCCCTATTTATCTCGAGAGCACACAAGGTACCGAAGACCTCATTCTGTGGAGATCCGTGTGGCAATTTGTTTGTGGAGACTTGCCACTAACCTGGAATACAGGTCCATCTCGCACCTTTTTGGAGTTGGCACATCCACATGCTGCGTTATCACTCAGGAAGTCATTACAGCAATAAATACAACTCTAAAACCACTTTACTTAAAAACTCCCTCTGCAGCGGACTTCAGAAAAATATCGCAAGGATTCAAAGATAAATGGAGATTCCCACAAGTTGTTGGAGCCATTGATGGAACCCATGTGCCAATCAAAGCCCCCACAAACACACCAGCAGACTACTTTAATAGAAAGGCCCAATATTCTATCATCCTCCAGGCAGTTGTGGACAACAAAATGAGAATATGGGATGTTAACATTGGGCAACCGGGACGAGTACATGATGCTCGAGTTTTTGCACTGTCCTCTCTTTTTGATCAGGGCCAGAGGGGGGAAATCTTTCCACAATGGACTGAAAGAATTGAAGGAGTTGAGGTTCCCCTCATGATACTAGGTGATGCAGCATATCCGTTACTCCCGTGGCTTATGAAGCCATTTCGTGAGAGCAGAGATATTGCTGTTGCACAAAGCAACTTCAACTACAGACTCAGCCAGGCACGAATGACAGTGGAAAGAGCTTTTGGGCGTCTTAAAGGACGCTGGAGATGCCTCCTTAAACAAAATGAATCACACATCTCTCTCATTAGTGAAATTATATCGGCATGCTGTGTGTTGCATAATTTTTGTGAAGTTCATCATGAGGAGTATATAGAAGAGGAGGAAAACGTACAACCGGAACATGATTGTGAAGCAGATGTAGAGCATCCTCTACAGGTTGGAGACCGTAGGGGCCGTGACATCAGAGATGCTCTGTCGGTTTATTTTTTCAAGATTCTAAAAAGAATCATTTGTCTGTATAAAGTGAAATTGTTGTTGTTAACACACTTTGTTCAAATACAGTAGTTGCAGTGGTACAAAACTTTATTGTTCACATATTGGCACTTTTTAATAAAAATAAAACAAATCAGTGCCAAGTATTAAAAAAATGCTGTTGCAAAAATAATTTAAAGTGCACATATTTCAAGTTCCAGAAGTAACAAAATAAAGGACAATCTTTATGTCATATAATTTTTGTTGTCTTTATACATTCTTTCTCGTCTTGTGCAAAATAACTAAACTTCTAAACTGTAAACTTTCTGTTGAACATTCTGACAAAACAGTCAACTGCCCGGACATTTTAACTAAAGCCCACAATGATAAACATACCTGTGCAAATAAATTATCTACAGGTCATGAAAATGCTGACTGTAATTAACTTGTTGCAGTATGTCTGACACTTGTTGGTTAGCTGGTGACACATTTTGTTCCTCCCCATCTAGTTTGACGGTGGGTGATTGCATGGGTGGTGTAGGGCACTGTTGGGACACTGGGGACTGAAGAATGGACCATGTGCTGCTCGGTGTGGATCTGGTTGGAGTAGACCTGGATGAGGCAGTTGGAAGCCAGTGAGTTAGAGCAGGTGCTTGTGGAGGGTGATATTGGGTGTGTTGTGAAGGATGATTTTTTGCTTGACTACTAAATGACAGCATATTAACAACAGTACCCATTATCTGACTGATCATCTGTGTATGTGCCTGTTGTTGTGCTTGTATCATTTGGAATCTTTTATCCTCTGCCTGCTGCTGTGCTTTTAGAAGACTCTCCAGAGCTGTACTCTCCTGCGTTTTTGACGGTTTTGCTCAGCTTCAAACATCTGTTGCAGCTTTGCTTTTCTGGCTTTCTGGTTTCATGGGCAATATAAGCCTGCAACCCACAGTCAGACGTTGAAGCTTCAGCTTTGCGCTTCCTTCCCAAGTGCCTCCTTGCCTGAACACCACGGATAGCCTGCCTTTCTTTCTTTGTTTCATCACAGCTGGGTGCAGCACTGTGGTCCTCTCCATCAGTGGTGTCATCTGGAGGTGCTGCAGTTTCCTTGTGATCTATGAAATATACACAAAAGCATTACAGTGCAGCAAAAATTAAGCTT